GACAAACCCTGAGAAAAAATAAATAAAAAAACCCCAAAAAACGCACATTAATAAATGAAATGTATCCGTTGAGGTTTTATTTATGGGTTCGCAAAACTGAAAAGGAAAATTTAGAATGGGGGGTGGGGAGATTTCAATTCCATCCATTAATCTGTAATAATATATATATTTTTTTTAAACTATAATATATATATATATATATTTTTTTTTTTTTTTTTTATTAATTTAACTTACTACTCTATAACAATACTTGTGACCTAATGGACACAGTAAGCTGGCATACCGGACTTATATGGTATCGCTTGTATATGTAAGTGTAATCACTGCTTTCAGGTGAAATTCTATTAGAGATTTATTTTAAATAAGATTTGGGGTTAGATACTCAAGAGCTTAGCATTTTTTTAAAAACACATGCAAAAAAAAAAAAAATATATATATATATATATATATATAAAAATAAATCTGTTTTTGTTTCAGATTTATGTTTGCCAACCACTTTATAACATGCAAATAAGATGCTGGACAATAATTGCATTTGCATCCTTTCCAATTAGAAATGGAACATTGCTAATATAGATATCACCTGTTACATTAAAAGACCAAGCATCACAATCTGTCTTGCTTAAAGAAGCAAAAAAAATCCTTTTAAGAGATAGTGTGATTTAATTGTTTCTGTTTGACAATCATCATCAATGCTTACATAGATAATCTCTACATTACATAGCAGCAACAAGATAGAGGAGCTGGGTTTGAGAAATTAAACACATGGAAAGATTCCAAAAGATTGGTGTGAGTGAGAACCACTATGCTGTATTTTATAAGTTGTCATTTAGACCAACAGGTCACTTCTAAGCAAGACCTATAGGAAACGTTCATCTACATTTTGATACAGAAGGAGAGAAGACACTTGCAAAGAAGGAAAAAATGGGGAGTATAGAGCTGATTGCATATTCAGTAGAAAATATAATAAACAAACTGAAAAAATAATTCATAAAAAGTGACTTGAAGGAAGACATTCATATTGAACAGTTTAATAAATCTACATAGAGGGGTTAAGAAAACAGACCCCACAATAGCTGCTAGTCCCATTGTGCAGGCAAAAGAAGGAATGTTTTTGTGTGATGCAAAGTGGAACGCAGTAATACAGTGTGAGGGTTAGAGGGATAAAAACAGATCAGTACAAAAGACCTACAAAAACCTTAGCTCTTAACTGTGATGTCAGTCAGGGGGAAAAAAGCAAATATCCCCTCTACCACTTTAAAATACCTTGACATAACTTTTTTTTTTTTTTTTTTTAAAAGCAAACACCTGCATTGCTTATCAATCAGGGTATAAGATAGCACAAGGTAATTGATCACCAACTATAAAAAAATAAAACAAGGGGAGGGAGAGAGAAAAGAAAAAAAGAAGAGGGAAAAGGGAGGTTGTAGTCTTCAATAACAGCTTAAAATAAAATTAGAGAAGAAAAAAAAAAAGTGTTACACATAATTTATGAAGCGTTAAGATATGGGCTACAGTTTAAGTCTATCCAAAAGAATTCTATTTCTGCAGATTTTTTATAGAGGTGTAAGCATTTGACTACAATCTGCTAACTTCTTGTTAAAACACAATCTTAAAGAACAAGAATTAAAACTAACAATATTGTAAGTGATTATGCTACAGAATGGGCTTTAGACAAAACATCCCCCCACCCAAAAAATAATAATAAAAAAAATAATATAATAAATATATTCACAGAAAGAACAATCAGAAACATTTTTAATGTTGTTATACCTATCTTGAAAAAAGATGCACAAGCAAGGGGAAAAAAAAATAAAAATAAAGCAAAAACCACATTTTCTATCACAAAAAGCAGATCTCATTTTTTCATTTTAGATTCCGTTGTTTGTTTTTCTTTGGTTAGGGGGTGGGTGGAAAGCCATCCATTGACAGAACAAAGCTGCTTTTGATGAGATGGAAGGGTTAATTAGTCAACTATTAAAAGTCCTTTATCAGAGACTATTGCCAAGATTCTGCTCCTTTTAAATCCCAGGCAGATCTAGTTTTGGGAAAATTATACATGTTGAATCCCCAAAAATCGATGCAAGCGGTCAGCATAAATAACGTGAAGATTAGATCACAGGAAGATTAACCACTGAATGACATGGAGGCAAGAAAATACTTTGAAAAGAGAGAGCTAGGGGCTTTTAAACAACTTTAAAAAAAAAAAAGCAATGTGAAATGTAGTCAAGACAGTATATGTCACCTTAAATCTCAACATCTTACTATGTACAGCACCACATTATGGCCAAAAGAGTATGTTACAGTCACACTAAAAAGGATGTTTAAATAGACAGCCTAGGAGAACATTAATAATGGATTTTTAGGGGATGTCTGGCTAGCCTATGAAATGAACATTTACATAGTAAGTGAATGCAAAGTACACAATTATAAACCTATTCTGCTGTTGGTGAACTTGTCCAAATACAGATATTATAATAATAAAGTGGAAAAAGCACAGATTTTTTTTTTACCAATCTGTGCCACTAATATCACACATGTTCAGAGATTACACAGGACTGGAAGGTAAATTAGAGAACTGATGTAATAAGACTAACATTTATCATCATAGAAGTGAAATTGGGGAAGAAAAAAAAATGAAAAAAAATAAAATAAAATCACCTTAATTGTTTCAAAACAGACTGAAAAAAGACGAGGCTTAAAAGAAATGGATCACATTACAGGGCAGTGAGGGGGAAATGAATCATCAGGTAAGATTAGTGTAAAAATTCAACAGCTGATTAAACTGGGAGAGATGGGGTGGATACTTCCAATGTTGCAAAGCTATAAAGAGCAAGTCGAATCTTTTATCACTTAAAAAAAATGACATCTACTGACATTTAAGATAGCAATACCCCCACTCTATGTTCCCTTACTTTAAACTCCCCTCCACCATAGATTTTGCAGTTCTTTCAACGGTGAATTTAGCAGACAAACAAGTCATGATTATGCATTCAATTACTGTCCCCTATCTTACACTATTCCATCCACAGCATCCAGAAAGCAGTACAGACACATCTGAACGTGTACTGGGTTCCTCGCTGCATAAAATCATGCAGGATACACATTGCATTCTAGTGTCTGACCCAAAGACAATTGCAAAGAAGAATCTCATTTTTTTATCCAGCACACAATGGGTTATCAAAAAAAATAAAAAAAAATAACTAAATGCATATTTAAAACCCATATTTAAGTAAAGATCTCACTCAACTGCTATATGCACTCCTAATATCCAGATTATTAGGAGTGAGGATTATTTATTACCAAAGGAGTAGGAATGCTGACAGAATAATAATTCAATTCTATTTCCCCTCGCTAGCATCAATTAATGTCTCTGTATACACACACACACACACACACAATTATATATATTGTTTATCTTTTAGCGCAGCATGGGTTATCTTAATTTGCAAAATGAAAAATCACAAGTCGGGGAGTTTTTTTTTTTTTTAAAGAATTAAATAAATAGTAGGGGCAATATTAAGTTTGTCTGGTTTAAACAATACAGAGTGACTGTAGGGATGGAACAAGCGATGCATGCGTGCACTTGAAGCAAAGGATAAAGTACAATCACTGGGGAGGCTTGCAAGAATACAATAAATAACATTAAATAATAAAGATTATCGATAAACAGTATGGAATCAGAACAAACTAGCAGCTATTATTTTTCCCATATTGAGAACACACAGAGAGATGCAACATGTACGCCAGAAGAAGTCTATTGGAACTTTCGCTGATCAGATACAATGTATCCAGGATGGAACCTGTTCTCACAAAAGGTTCTTCTAAATAGAAGTCAATGAATATAATAAATAGATTGACTGGGTATCAATATTCTCTGAGCAGAGCAGGTCCAGCATCCTTCTCTCTATCACACAGATCCCCATCACTTACCTCTGCATATCAATAAAAGGGATCTCAGAGGATGAAGTTAGGAGAGATCCCCTGGGCTGATTACTTTATTAGAAATTAATTAAAGTAGACAGGTCCTGAGAGCCACTTACCTCTGATAGGGGCTCGCTCTGCAGGCATGTAGGTAAGTGGAGAGGTGCTGTTAAAGCAGCAGTGTGATCCAGCAGTTCGCAGTGCCCGCTCTCATACTCACTAACTCCTCTCTCCTTTAAGGTTAGCAAATCAACACAGCGGTGACGTCAGCCCCAGCGCCTGGAACACATGCCTCTCCCCCCCCAACCCCCCTCCTCTCTCTGGACTATGGAACTGCCCCCCCGCCGCCATCTTTACTCCTGGCAAGAGAGAAGCGCTGGAGATCCATTCATTGTAGAAACACTGGATAACTTACTGTCTTTTCTCCTTCGCGATGATCTTGAGCAAGGGAAAGCGAGTCTTCTCGTGATGGGATTATGCAGAGGAGTTTGTCAGGCTGGTGTGGTCATTGCATGGATGGACGGAGCAAGCTTGGAGAGGTCTTCTGCTGGGGTGCTTGGGCCAGCTCTTGGTCTTCTCCTGTAGGAAGGTTGCTAGGGTATTTGGGGCAGATTGCTAGGACTATCCTTGTCTTTTTATTGGTTATATTAAAATACGTCAGGTGCCTGGTTACTCTGATAATTGAGTTGGTTGGGACGAGAAAACAATCTTATTTTCCTCTACTGGAGTGCTTGGGCTAGTTCTTGGTTCTCTCCTGTAGGAAGGATGCTAGGGTATTTGGGGCAGATTGCTAGGACTATCCTTGTCTTTTTATTGGTCATGTCAAGAGAAAACATTTATTTCATGGTGGATCAGTGTGGTTAGGAGAACACAATAAACACGGTATTCTACTTAAGTATTTTTAACTTGATGGGGCTTCTGTTGGAGGAAGAGACACATTGCTAGGTATATCATTGTCTTTGTAATATTTATCCGATAAGAATAGTTGTTTGGTACATGGATAATTCCCCTGATGTTTGACCAGTGTCAGAAGAAGACAATAACAGTGTCTTCTACTAGAATATTTTGGACTTGGTGGGTCTTGTCTTGGAGGAAAAGATAGATTGCTAGGAATATCCTGGTCTTTTTAAGGTTTACTTATAAGAGAACATGTGTTTGATCCATGGATGGTTCCTCTCATGGTAGAGGTGGTGGGAAAGATAATTTGGTTGGGGTGAGACAACAGTAAAGTAGCCTTCTACTGGAGTATTTTGGACCTGAAAGAAGAATAGTAGTTCCTAGCTTAATTGGGACAGATTGAGAGAAGGACCATAAAAAAAGGCCATGATATTGCCTAAAGATCAGAGACTTGAAACAAAACATGCAAGCAAAATTCCTCTGATGGTTGAGTTGGGGACAAGGAAAGCTTGGTTGGAACCAGACAGCAGAATATATATATGTGATAGAACTGCTTTCATATGGTTAGCAATTCTAATATCGGATTAGTAAACACCCATTCATTGCACTTGTATATTTTAGAAGAGAATCTCAAACCATTTTATTGTATTCTAGATAGATTGGAATGTGGTGAGAATTGTTAAACAGGCAAAGTATCCAGATATTGTTTAATGCTTATCTGGTGTCTGGCCAGGGGCTTGTGGAATGAGCTTAATTGGGATGTGAGTGCTTTCTTAACTAGGAACGGTCACAATTTGTCTCTGCTAGGTGCTCCACAGATTCTGTAGAACACATTTGTTCTCATGGTTGAGGTTTTGGCAAGGTTGGCTTGCTTGGGATACATTATTATTATTTTTTTTTATTTTTTTTAGAGAGAGAGATGGGCTCTCATGATTCAACTTGGGTATTTAAGGAGTTGTATAGTAATGGAGCACACACACCTTTGGTAATGAGCCTGTTTAGAAGAACATTGTATTTACAAGCGTGTTTTTGAGAAGGGCATAGAACGTAAAATTCATTATTGTACAGATGGAAGGTCTATTAATGGACAGATGGGCTATATGCTATTATAACTAAAACAGAATGAAGTTTTCTCCTTGGCAAATCAGGGGGGGAATATGCAGAAGTTTTTAGTATTGTAATGGAGCCAATGCAGAAATAATTGGATTTACAAGCCCTACGGGTCTGGGGGTTCAGTACATATTGGTGTTAAAACAAAAAAAATAAAAAGATAGCTCAGATTTAGAAGAGACAGTTATGACCTAAAGTGACTTTAAGTGGTTGTTACTCTAAATACCCAATAATTTAGAATTACTGAAAAGGGATATTTAGTGTTGAAGATTCTGTACCAAAAAAATAAAATATTTTTCAATCATTTAGTTTTATTTTACCTTACAAATTTAAATAGGAATATTGCTGATGACGGATCATGAAATAAGTAGATTTTTTGAGGTGTCACAAGCACTACTCAAACAGTCTGAAAGATATAACATTCATAAACATAGAATGTAAAGGTAAGACGTGCATGATTACATTCTTTGATCACAAAATATATTCAAAAATGGTTTAAATTCTCTCTCCAACTCACTGATTGTATAGGTTTTACAGCCTTACAATAGATGTCAAAAAACAACTACGCATGATGATAGGGGATGATTTAATCAGAAAATTTCTGAACCAAATGTAGACATTTTTCACTTTCACCTAAGGTCAACCCACCATCTGACATTTTAGAACGTCTCATTTCTGCTATTAAAAGTACTGATATAAATGGTTTAAATATCACTGGTAACAGAAAACGTCTCACTATAGGTCTGCTTGATATTTTGCAGACACACCCAAGTGATCATGGTACCACAAGACAGACATACTTGTTTTACTTTGCAACTTTCTAGGACAGGGGTAGGCAACCTTCAGCACTCCAGATGCTGTGGACTACATCTCCCATGATGCTCTTACAGCTAAAATGCTGGCAAAACATCAGGGTAGATAAAGTACACAACATTTGGCATGCCGAAAGTTGCCTACCCCTATTCTAGGAGGTTTGTTTACCCTGGCTAAAATTATATTACCCCTTTTTCATTCAGTTATTCACTACATAGGGCAGGGATAGGCAACCTTCGGCACCCCAGATGTTGTGGACTACATCCCCCATAATACTCTTACACCCATAATGCTGGCAAAGCATCATGGGAGGTGTAGTCCAAGATTGCCAAAGGTTGCCTATGCCGGACATAGGGAGTCATCACAAATGGCACGATTTAAAACTCCCCCACTCGTTTATTTTTCCTAAACGTTTTAGAGCTGAAATCTGCAATCTCCTAGTCTATTTAGTATTATTGAATAACTCCGTAAGTGATTTAATTCTATGGATCTTCACTAAAATCCAGATTGTGTCGAGTTCCACTCCGAATGGGAAATCTAGGTTACAATCGCCAAGTTGTGGCTTTAGCAGAGTTGGAGGATTTTTCCAGATCAATTATTTTTAGCTCGGTTTTGTAATTTCCATGTTGAGAATATTTCACAAATACCCCTCCAAAAGGTGGAGTGTACGTTAACATTAGCTTGGTCGGCAAACCTTCACTCTCAGTAAAACATGTTCATTGAAAGCTTATAGTTTTTATTTTTAGGTTTTTGTTTTTCCCCTTTGAAGTCAAGCACCATAATCAAGAATTCGATTTTCTAAAACACAAGGTTTTATCTTACATAGCAGTAAGTACACTTAGCATTGCACCATAAAATATATTTTTTAAATTTAAATTGTTTTTATTATTTTTACCAGATAATGTCAGTACATAGATGTTGAAGATCATTTTTTTAAGCACTGTGTTGTAATTAAACTTTTATATACGAAATCCAATTAAATCCCGTGGATTCTGATTACGTGTGTAACGGCAAGGCAAACTGTCACTGAAAATGCGGTGCTGAGACAAATCAACAGCTATCATAGATTGAGTGATAATCAAAAAGGTTTAACTGCAGACACATTATCAGTCGTGTCATGTTGAAACATTTAAATTGGATAGTAATATCACTTTACCGAACTTCCACGGCTAGTTCATATTTTTTACATTTTCTTGTTTACGGCAATCTGCTATAAATGTCACTAATCAATTTGTGCACTAAAAATCGGACAAAAAACAACAAACAGAAAAAAAAAAAAGAAAAAGATAAAAGTAAAACTATCCCAACACAATTCTTAGTAATGCTATTTATATTAATTACTTATGCTTCCGTTGAAATGGAAGAAAAGATAAGTAGAAAGTATGGGATGTGGTTACCTACAGCCTATTATAAACATAGTTAAGGGGGATCTGTGTACATTATGGTCAGTATAAACCAAGTAACACATTTGGCATTTTTGCTGTGTTACCTAGAATGTAATTTTGATCTGATGAAAATATCCAGGTAACAGACTCCCTAAGTACCATACGAATTACAGCACCAAGCTGGAGTGGTGTAGGTAATATGCAAATGGAATTTTTACTAGTGCAGAGGGCTTTGCAGCGGGTACTGGGGAGAGACTGTTTATGTTTAACTGCTCCAAAAATATTTTTTTTGGGGGGGAAAAAAACTAAACAAAACAAATGCACAAAACTCATAGAAGCACAATCACTGCCACGAGTTGTAGTGGTTATGGAGCTTAGAGTTCCCCCTGTAAAGTATGGTGTGCCCTGCTAGATGTTCAGTGTGGAATCCCATAGAACAGGGATAGGCAGCCTTTGGCACTCCAGATGCTGTGGACTACATCCCCCATAATGCTGGCAAAGCATCATGGGAGGTGTAGTCCAAAACGTCTGCTGTGCTGAAGGTTGCCTATGCCTGCCATAGAACATGTGGATACATTCTGAATATTGAGTTTTAAATGTAGACATCGCTTTAGCAATGTGGAAGTAGCTCTGTATTCATGAGAAAGCTAAATCTATATTACACCTCTAAGGGAAGGGTAAAGAAAACATTAGGCAAAAAAAATAAAAAATAAAAAATGACCCTCTGATTATTTTTAATGCAAGACAATGAAATTAAAATTAAAGCTACTCACTCTGAAATTATGTGTAGCGGGGGTTGGATTATATCAGTAATTGATGCATACATTTTGCACTTTTGTTTTTCCAGACACTACAAATATCTCCAGTACAATTAAGAAGGTGAACCAAAGTCCAGTCTTAACTGTATTTACTCAAGCAGTAAGAATAACAAGCAGAGGAAGCCAATATAATGCTGGAGAATGGATTCCAAGATTCGTCAAATAGTATAGTATAAAATATTGGACTGTCCATAGAAACTGGCAAATTTCCTGTTGGGGCCATGGAGTGGAAGGGCATTATCATAATGTGGAGAAAGCCTCTTCCTTGCACAGAAGTAATCAAATGTCGGCACTCCAGATGTTGTGGACTACACCTCCAATACTGCTTTTACAACCATAATGCTTGCAAAGCATCAAGGGAGTTGTAGTCCACATATGGAGTGCCAAAGGTTGCCTCCACTTGGAAAATCTAGTATATCAAGAGGTGCTGCATTGTACTGAAAGCTGCTTTCCCATTTTCCCTAAATGTATTTTGATGGGTTAAAATGGGGGAGTCTGTCCATCCATCCTGCCTCGCATCCCACAATGTTCTGGTGCATGCAGCTTTTATACACTATTTAATATTTTCATTTAAAAAAAACCAAAAAAAAACTTTTTTTACCATCCTCATCAATGGCAAGGCCTTTGTTATGCTTTTCTACAGCTCACCTGAATAGCAAGTCAACAGGGTTATTTACAAGCCCCTATATACGCATACAATGTATTTAGCCATTGGTCCTTTTAGATTAGACAACCCATGCTTTGCTTTTAAAAAAAAATAAAAATAATAAAAAAAATAAAAAAAATTACGCTTAGGGTGATTTACGAAACTTCATATACGAGGGACTTACAATCTGAATGTATTCATGTAGGTTAAAATCTCCAACTCCACTATAGTCACAGCTTGCCTGCATCAGCCCAAATTTCAAAATTCAGAATTCAAAAGATTTCCATGTGAAAAATTCAGAGTTAAGGGAATAAATGTGCCTGTTTCTTTGGAGCCAAAAAATTCTATAGTACTAAAGTAAGGACACGCTAAAAAATAAACTAGATTTTTTTTTTTTAACCCACCTGTGCTAGATGGTCGACAAATTTTAGGTTCCTGGTTCTTTGGTAAACAAAATAGCATTTCACCAGACACAAAGATCAATATATAAATTGCACAGTATGTATGCAATACCAAAATATGTATCCAATATCTCACATTATACAGAGCACTATATTAAAGTATAGTGAAAAACATGGAAGATGTAATAGTGCATTTAGTAAAGCTAAAGTAAAACTGGCTTACTTAAAAAGTTGTTGAGCTGGGTAACACATTAGCATGCTGCAATCTCACTGTGTTCCATTATCAAACCCACCTTGTTTCCTAGAGATCTCTCATCATACATGAATAAGGCTGTTCTGTAGTACAGACAATACAGATGTCACAGCAGGGAAATCAATTACTACTCAAGAAGTAATCCCAAATGAGTCGCTCTGATTATTTAATTAATATCCTTCCTGCAGCATATGAATGCTACTTACAGTCCAATAGTAATACATGGGAGCTTTTTTAACGAACACACCCTCAGATCTCGTAAACAGTAACCCTTTAATAGCCCATCAGGAAAATTCAATGCACCGATTGTATTTTGGTAACCAAGTGGTCTTTATTAAATGCCTCACTTCAAGCATAGGTGTATGCAAGGGATGTGTGAAGGGTCCCCAGACACCCCAGTTGTCCACAATATTCCCACTTAATTCATACTCTTCACCTATCTGCCAAATTGAAGTAGCTTGAGATTATTATTTTATTAGGATTAGCATTTAATTTTGTTGTTTGCATTAGAAGTGTTCAGCTGATAACATGTAAAGACATTCTTATAGCTTGCGTGATGGATAACACAAATAACCCTTAGCTATGAGAATATGTATTATATTAAAAACAAATCCGTGATACACAGCCTAATAAAAAATGAGTTGGACATTTAAAGAGAATCGAATCACCAATTTTGTTTAGACAAGAATTTCAAGTGAGCCATACTAGTGAAAAGAAGGAAAATCACAAAGCAAACCAAAAACAGTATCTAAACATATAACTTCTTAGTGCTGATGGGTTGTACATGAAAAGTGATGCAATTCAGGAAATAGAGGTCATGTACTGCAGAAAAGACATTTTTGATTAATTAATTGATATCCCTCCTGCAGCACCTAAATGCTATGAGTTACATGGCAATTATTTTCATGTGTTCCCCATATAAGCATTATAGCATAGGAACCCTTTGTATGGATCTGGTAACCCTCAATGCACTGCATGTACCCAGGCATTGGCAAACTGTGGATGTTATTCATTAACGTATGCATTTTGGGGAATTAAAAATGAATTTAAAACTTTAGGCCGAAGTGCCCAAAATTGGAAAAATGCAAACGTTTAGCTCTGTATTCAGTTTGAATATTTTAGGCTAACAATGTGAGATTCACTTTGAATTCCCAAGAACGCGCGCTTTATTGAATAACCCTGCGTACATGGATTTATTGTTTTTTGAGTAAGTGCTACAATAACCATACAAGCACATAGATAATATTAAGATAATCAGTACAGAAATAAACAGATATTTGGCATTTGAATACTTTGTGGAATATATTATATTCCTGCGGCCAATGTCAAAATAATGCTGAGACGAAAGTTCTTTAGAGAGTGTTGGATTTTGATTCACTACAATAAATTTGGAATTGTAGTGAATCAAAATCCAGGATGCAAAAGTAAGGCTAAACCATGATCTAGAAAATAAAAACCCATCCGTCCAGAAAATGTATGTGAACAAATGGTTAAGCAGCAGATCACCTGGGTTTAAATAGAAGTTGAAGTCAGTGCAATAAACACAGGCCCGTCACATACAATAAATTAACAGTTGTACTTTGCGGTTTCTCTCAATGCAGACTGCAAATTTAGGGTCATTAATAACCCAGACATCATACTGGCAATGTGACTGAAGCTGCAACAGGGTCATTTGCAAAAGAACATCTAAAAAATATTTAGTTGTTTCTTTTATTTGTCTCATTTGCAAATCCAGATTGATAATCACCTGCAAATGTGTCACAGTCTCATTAAAATAATATTTTACGCTTCAAATCAGGACTGTGAATACTTGTTTACCCTGCTGGCTATTGTTCTATAGTTAATTCTGTGCGTTTCTTATAATGTGAAAATCTGCTACATGATCTGAAATGCTGATCAGTGTCTGAGCTAATGGCTACCGTTTTCCAATCTCGTTATGGGATTTAAAGGGAATTGTACACAAATATAAGTACAGCTTAATTACCTTTCAAAATGTGTACTGTTTCTTTATGTACGCACTTTTCATCTCCTAAATAAAGTGAAATTGGTGAAATGTTATTTCAGTATCATACTTCATATAATGACAAGAAAAACAGATTTTTTTTCTGATTAAAAAAAATCACCGGAGACACTGGAGATATTGTATCTTGTGTATTCTACATGGTTGCATTGAAAAATAGCGTTCTGCATTATAAATTTTTCAGAAGCTTATCTGGAAAATTATTAGACACAATCGTTCTATCGTACATGTCAGCATTGAGCCTCATTCACTAAATACTGAATTGTAGTGAAAATGTCCCGATTTGGAAAAATTCCAATTTGACTTATGTATACGGAATAGTCTGGACAATTGGCTCTTTAAATATGTCATTATTACACCACTTTACTCTGATATTTGATATTATTACACCACTTTACTCTGATATTTGTCAGAACGAGTATACGTATGAAAACACTAAACTGATGGCAAAACTTTTCATGTGTTGCCAATAAACATAAAGGAGTGAGCCGGACGGTTGAGGAAGGTGCATGAAGAAAAACCACCACTCCTTTTAACTAAATTTTGGCTCATACAATGTTCTTATGTATTGTGGCTGGGATATTTGGTTTTAACCCCTTAAGGACCAAACATCTGGAATAAAAGGGAATAATGACATGTCACACATGTCATGTGTCCTTAAGGGGTTAAAGGGATGCCAACAGGCGGTTGCAGTTACCTTTTGTCAGGCTATGACTAAGACCCAACACGCCAAATTTAAGTTAAATAAAATGTAGCCGGAATAATAAAGCATTTTACCGGACCTTAGATTAGCCGGATGTAATGCTAATAATATAGAATAGTACAGAACAGGCCTAGGTCAGGGAAACACAGAGTACGTAAACGGTAAGACATGCCAGATATCAGGGAATACAGAAGGAAGAATAGTCAAGAAGAATGGGTCAAAATATAATGGAAGCAATAAATATAACATGCTCTTGGATAACCACAAGGGTAACCACAACAGGGCACTGCACTAATGTCACAATGAGCTGTATAAAGCCCTAGGAGGGCATTCATTGGCTATGTGCAGTCATGTGATGCCAGAACGTGCGTGACGTCGCGGGACACTGCATGCATGTACGCGTCACTAATAGCTTCCAGGAGGGTGGGGCTATATATTGGCCATGTTTAGCAGCAGCTGGCATCAGAAAATACGCCGGACAAGAGACCAGACATAGAGGGAGGAGTTAGGAGTGGCAACCCCGGTATATGAATTAGTCCTAAGGTGCCATAATACCTCTGTTATCAAAACAAGCATTTTGTCTGAAACTTCACGGGATAACGTACTTGGTGATCATTAGCCATTCATAAATTGGTAGTGTGGTTTCTGATTATCATTGAACAGTCGTATTTGCCTTTTTTCATTGTGTTTTTATTTATTTGTATCCAATTTTATATTTGGCACAATGTATTAGTGGACATGTCTTTGTCCACCCCCCAACATTGTAACTAAGTTCCCCCCTTCATTGGTGTCCCCAATAAAAATACCATACTTAGGATCCTCTAGAAAATTAAAAAAACCTCTATCTATCTCTAATAATAGTGAGAAGGGTCCAATTAGTCCAATAAATGTGAAAATATTATACTAACCATAATGTCCTTTTTCTTCTTCCTCCTTTTTTTTCAGCTTGAAAAGGCCAGATAAAAAGCCATGTTACGAATCAGCTTTTAAAATGAATAAATGGCCAAAAATATGCCACTATAAAAATAACTTTGTAATAGTAAAAAAAAAACAACTTAAGGTTAAGGTTGTAAAGGCAAATTATAATCGAGTGCTATTGTAAAGAGGCATCCCTGTCATGCCAAACAAACACATATAGATATCTTGTTTGGCATGACAGGGATGCCCCTTTAGGATAGCACCCGATTATAATTTGCCTTTACAATCTTAACCGAGTTCTTTGACTACCACAATAAAAATAATCCATGTGAGTCCACTCAGGGCTCTGCGTAGGCTGGGCTTGCATGGCAGGGAAAAGTACATAAAGTTTTTCCAGGCTATGCATTTTCAATCTGAGAGCTCTGATTGGTTGGCTTGTAAGAAAACTTACCTGCCACTTATTTATTTAATTAGTCTATTTAAGAAAATAAGTTTGAAGAAGAAAAAAAGGCATCTAATGGTAAGTATATATTTTTTACACTATATAGCCCCCAACTATTATAATGCTTTTTTTATTGGGTGTTGGTTAGGGGTTTGGGAACACCTAGATATTAAGGTTGGGGATGGGCATGATCATAATTCTATATTGAATCCCCCCCCCCTCATATTGCTAATGGGTAGGATTTGGGGACACACAATGTTACCCCTAGGTTATTAATACATTTACAGACCCCCACCTACTGCCAATAGAACATCCCTTGTAATAATATGACCCCCATAGGATTTTTGTTTATTTATTTTTTAATGACTAATATGACTTGTCAATGTGCTTCACAAAACTAATTTATTGGAGTATTTTTCTCAAACAGACAACATACCGTATTTTTCCATGTATAAGACTATGTTTTTTTTCTAAATTTTTTTAGTGTAAAATTGGGGGTCGTCTTATATACAGAATGTCACTGCAGGGGTTAAAAACCCCCCACTTGTTTAAGTAAAGATGGCGCCTGCCGCATTTCAGTGTGCCCACACACATACCTGGCCTCTCTCCCGCCGATCCACTTCTGTTTGCTTTGGCAAGGAGGAAGAGGTCCATATATGCGTAGGAGCTGCAGCAGACGTCAGCACTTACCACCAACGGAGCTCCCGAGTTGTATTAAGATATGCTCCACCTCAGGTAGGTCTTGCTTTCTGATTTATATTTATGGGGAGAAAATCAGAGAGCAGAGGGAATACTACTGTGATGCCCCAGCATGCCCTCACACCACCTGCTGTATTGTGGGAGCTGTAGTCTCCCAGCATGCATTAGAGCCATTAACGTCACAGAGTACCGTAGCACAGGGGAGGCATGAGATTCAGAAGTGTGTTGTTCTCCTCAGACTTCAACTCTAAAATATCAAAGTTGTTCTATTTGACGTTTAAAATATTGATTTCTTAATTTTGGGTTTAAAAAATAGGGGTCGTATTATACATGGAAAAATACTTTATGTATCGGGTTCGGCTGCTAGAATTTCAATTGGCAATAAATGCAGTCAGAACTGGCATTAAATCCAGTTGACTAGCTTTTGCCAATAGATTGTAATTGAAGTCTATGTTTCCTATGATGTCCAGATAAATCAAGCAGACGTCATAAAAATATATTTTACATTATAAATAACAGTACAGACCTTTGTAACTGCTGACTGCAAAAAAGTACTTTAATTTCAAAAATAAAAATATATAGATGCCAAAATACCAGAGTATTGCAGTATGCATCAATACCTTTTTTATTGGACTAACATAATACTTAAAAGACAAGCTTTCAAGGGTTTTCCTCTCTTCCTCAGGTCTGAAGCCATGTATATATATCTGTATATATATGCATACAGAAGAGCTAAAGACATACTGCTGGTGAGGAATAACCTAAGCAGAAAAAAAAGTTTAAAAAACAAAACAAAAAAAACGTTAAAATTCTGAAAGAATGAAGTAAAGAGCAAGGAGTTGAAAGATTGGAGAGCAAATGACAGGAAATTAATGAAAGGGGCAAGAAAGGACAAGGATCCTTGAATGGATTATGTTTAAAGCTTCACAAAAATGCACCTTGACAAACTAGAAGAATTCTCCTCTACCAATGTCTGTGTCACAGGTTTGTCAGTCCAGGTTTGTGTGGTACCGGACAGGATGTGAGTTTAGTCATCTTTAAACGTATTCAGGAGACAAACACAAGGACATTAATTCTCAAAACAAACAGAAAAATAAATATGTGAATGCCTTTAATACATACAAATATATATGTTTAAGTCAGAGCTCATGTTTGAATGAAGTTGGAAATACTATATACATAATTCAGTATTTGTTTTGTTGCTCTACACACAGCATATACTCACTTTAAAGGACCACTATAGTGCCAGGAAAACATACTCGTTTTCCTGGCACTATAGTGCCCTGAGGGTGCCCCCACCCTCAGGGACCCCCTCCCGCCCGGCTCTGGAAGGGGGAAAGGGGTAATAACTTACCTTTTTCCAGCGCTGGGCGGAGAGCTCTCCTCTCCGCCTCCGATCCGCCCCGCCGGCTGAATGCGCACGCGCGGCAAGAGCTGCGCGCGCATTCAGCCCGTCGCATAGGAAAGCATTTACAATGCTTTCCTATGGACGCTTGCGTGCTCTCACTGTGAAAATCACAGTGAGAAGCACGCAAGCGCCTCTAGTGGCCGTCAATGAGACAGCCACTAGAGGATTAGGGGGAAGGCTTAACCCATTCATAATTATAGCAGTTTCTCTGAAACTGCTATAATTATGAAAAAATGGGTTAAGCCTAGAAGGACCTGGCACCCAGACCACTTCATTAAGCTGAAGTGGTCTGGGTGCCTAGAGTGGTCCTTTAATATATCGCATTACCTTATATGCTACGTTACATTAGTTGGGGGGGGGGGGTTCTGGGCTGGCATTTGTAACATGTGACCATAGGGTCACAGATATTTGCTACAAATAACCCAGAGAGCTACGCAGGCAGCCCACCCACTAAAACGTTGTTTGATTCTTTTCTTT